GGCTTGGTTGCTAATGTAGAGTTCACAAATTATGAATCAATAAATTATTAGTCATTATTAAAATTGTGTGCAAATGGTGCTACTAAATGTATTAATTAAACAAATAAGGTTTCTATAAGGAATTATTTTATATATTCTCTTGCTAATTGCAGTTGTTTCTAATTGTGTGGAAACATAGCTTTACTAGCAATAAACCATTCTAATTATTGTTGGCACTCAATTATATAACAACATTCTTTGGGACAGGGTATACATACAGCCTGCATCTACAAGTTCAATGTTAAAGGTAATCATAAAAAAGTGTTTAATATTTTTAGAAGATACAAGCTTCCACCACAAATTTAATCTTTGGTTTTACTTTACAAATCTCCAAAGCTCAGTTCAATTAACAATTCACAAAGTCCTTTTTTTCTGAAGTATTGGAGTTCACTTCCTGTGCTTTAAACACTATAGGAAAAAGGAAGGCTTTAACATTAATTTAGACTCCATAAACAACATGATTTTTTGGCCTTAAGAGAATCTCTTGATTGATTCAAGCATGTCTTTGAAAGGACATTGCACCATAGACCAGGCTATTGGCTAAGACCTGCCCATTTATAATTTATCTGTTTCAGACACTGCAATCTTTGTAAATTTCAGATACGTGTTTCAAATATAATAGAAATGTACTGTGTGATAGTACATTAATAAATAAAAATATAGTGGTCTAAGTGAAAGATTTGACTGATATTGAGGCATACAATTACATTGTTAATTATAAGAAATTACATGTTTTTTATACTTTTACACAAAAACAGAAGACAAATGTGATTTTAAAATAAACAGCATCAATAGGAATAACAGTAACATGGCAGTTTTTGAGGAATATAATGCGAAATTGAAAAACATTTTGTTTCCTTAGCATCTATACTTTGCAACCAGACCCGGCCCTGGCATAGGCGATCTAGGCCACTGCTAGATGTTTTTACAAATTCACGTTTTCTGCAATATTACACATGCTGCTTGGGTCACCTGCCTAAAAATTGGCACTACCTGGCCAAACAAAAGAGTGAAAGCAAATGTGCAGTACAAAAGACTGTTCAGCACTTATACGTAACTGGCATTAAAACATATTGTTTTCTTGCAGTTTCTTCTGTATTTAAATGGAGGTTTTCTAGCCCTCCGGATTGCACTCACTCTCCCAATGACGGCGGCAGGAGTGGAGAGGAGTCTTTCAGATCTCAAGTGGATTAAAACATACCTGAGGTCAACCTTAGTTCAGTGGACTGGCCATGACAAGCAAGTGGACTGGCCATGACAATCATGCAATGGGACGACTACTATTGTATGAAGATGTGAGTGATGATTTTGTCTCCAGAAATCTAGGTGAATTGATTTCTTGAAAGTTTTTTATAAAACTCTCCTATTTGCTCAGCCTTTCTGATCTCACCTTCGTTATTGAGTGTACTTTTTCTTACTTAATTACATATTTATTTCTATAATTCCTTTCTACAAAGGATTTAAATTAATAATTTGTAACTTCTCCTATTTATAACTTTAAATATTAAAGGTTTATTTCTGAAAAGAGAAGAAAAGAGACACAATGTTTCAGCTGTGGAGCCTTCTTCAGGTTCTTCTTCACACAATGTCTCTTTTCTGTTATTTTCATCAAGGAACAAACCTTTACCTCTTCCTTATAAAATGTATGCTTCTGTTCTTCTTTGTAACTTTTGTGTTATTCAAAGCTGGTTAATACGTTTTCTAGTGATTTATTTTTTTATTTAATTGTTCTAAATAGTTAAATATGGTTGGGTAGTGAGCTGATAATAGTAATGTATGTTCAAATCGGGATCTAGAGGAGCCCCATTACAAGATCTTCCTTAGGGCTCCCAAAAAGCTAGGACTGCCCCTGTTTGCAACTATCATTCCAGTACTTGTTTGTCATTGATTTATTTAGTCACTATGTAATGTTTGATGCATTTGAACCTTACAGTGTGCTACTACTAGGGAAAACAAAAACTTTCAACCATTATACATTTTATACCATTATACCACCTAAAATGTTTTGAATATTTTCTAAGGCTTTAATTATCTATATCCTTAAGAAATCTAGTTCCCATCCATCTGAATGCTATGTGTTTTCTGAGGAATTCCCCGGGCTTTAGGTTATACACATTTCTTAAAATAAACTTTTAAGCACTAGTTTGGGAAAATCAATTTTCTACTATTAGTAGATCAGGTGGATCAGAAGGTGGCAGTCTTTTGTCTAAACCTACATTCAACAGAACAATGTGTTGTGAGAGGTACCATAGCTTGAATGAGACATTTAACTAAGGTCATAACTACTTGGTTATCAAAATTCCCATGAAGGTTTCTAAACCCTGGTATCCTGGCGAAATTACTTTTTCACTTTATTTGATTGGTAAAGCAAATTCCCATTTCTTTAACTAATCTGCTGTATAGTGGATGTGGGGTTACAGTACCTTACATTATTGAGCTGACTGTTGCATTTCAGTTTATAAGTCAAGTGTTTTGGGATTCCTTGTGACTAAATATGCTATACAATTAAAAATAATTAATATATTACTAATTAATTATTAAATGAAATGACCAGCTGTAACCTGTTTCCATGACTATGAGTTAAATATATCAAAAGTGTAAAGAACATAGGCTGTAATAACTGGATTGTTTCTAATTAAGTTTCAGAATAGTTTCCAGAAATATATCCCAAATTTGATACTGATTTTATTCTCACAGACCAGTATCTTTGAGTAGGCAGAGGAGGCAATCTATATTACAACTACTATTCTGGTTCCAAAAAGTTTTCATTTGCTGAATTTGCCACATACTTTTTTTTTTAAACACACCCTGGCACCTGCAACTGTAACATTTAGCAATATACTAATGTAGCGGCAAGGCTTATTAATAAGGCAGAATTAAGTGTTTCTGAGCTTTCCCAAATTAGGCCCCATTTCTCTGTTCATCTCTGTGGTGCAGCCACAGAGAGACTATTTATGCAGGGTGATTTAAGGTCCTAGGACAGCTCCCAAAGGGGGATGCACTTAGCTAAGCCTGGCTATCATGATCAATGGTCATCCATTGGCGCCTATCTGTCTAGGGAGTGCCAGATGGACATCTGGGCTGCATTCCTAAGTGTCAGGAGTAAGTGACTCATATCTCACCTTGATCAACCAATCAGGGACTGGTAGGGCCGAGTAACCCACGTGGGACTCTGATGCCCATGGAACTTTCAGCCAATCAATGAGCTGAAGTTCCTCCAGGTAAAAACAGGCAACACAGAGAGCCTGGGAGATTCAGTAAGATTCTGGAGAGGATTCTGTGGACTGTTCTAAAGGGAATTCAAAGGAGAATTCCAGGGCAGGACGGCCCAGGAGCAGAAGGCTCCCAAGGGCAGGACATTCTCGCAGCACGCCTCCTGACCATCCTGAGACTCAGCCCGGACAACCACGGAACGGCCAGTGTCTCAGAGTGCCAGAACTTTCCTTTGTTCTAAGAGTCTAGAGCGGAGGTTGCCAGAGAATAACCAGAGGATCCACCCGAGGTTAGCACCAGCAGCAGGCCTCGTGAACAGGTCGGAACTGTGGACAGCTGAATCACTATTCAGAACTAGCTCTTCACCAGGAACGAACCGGTCCTCTTCCTGACTTGCTGGGACCCACAGTCATCTTTTCTCCTGTGCACAAACTTTGCTAGTTAAAGCCAACACTAACTAGCCGGTCAGTGAGCATCAGCAGCGCACCGTCGCAAGCCGCACAGCACAGCCTGACACGGAGCCAGAGAGCGCGGATTGGACAGCAACAGCCTGCAACTGTTTCTTTGTGCCCGCAGGAGATCTGAATCCCCAGAAATTGGATGAGTATTCAACTTCAATGCATTACAGCTCGAGAATTCAATTGTTATCCCAACCAGTTGATATCAATTTAATTCCTAAGAGTTATGTACTTGTTGTGAGTATCGAAAGTAGAAGTTATAACCAAGTTCATTTATGAAACGGTCTAAATGAATGATATACTGAACGTATGTCCTCTTGATATGTGTAACTCTTTGTAACTGACCGAATATACCTTTTGTATTCTGATAACCCTCTCGATAAGATCTGTTAGTTTTACATGCATATTCTATGTATTAATAAATGTATCCTCGTGTATTAGTACCTGTGTGTGTGCGTTGTTGAGTTATGTCGCATGGTTGGACTCTAAAGCCATCAAAAGAATCAACTTTGTGATTTACTGCTACAATTAATAATTGTCTCAGTAAATGCCCAACCCTACAGAACTGGTGCCTTCAGAGAGCCACTATGATTACATATTTGGCGTCCCTGATCCGGTTTTCTTACACTACCATTATGCTAATCCCAAAACATACTGTGCATAATTTAAAAAAAAACTCTACTCATAAATTACAGTCTGCTATTATTATTACTTGTGATGTTTAACATTTTGAAGATGGTAGTTATTAATCCTAAGGCACCATGATTCATATTTAAGGGATATCAGTTTAATATAAGTAAGTTGAGGAAATTACCTATAACAAAACAACTACCTAAATATTCTTTAAATATTTAAAAATCATCCATAGGAATTTCATGTCACCTTACTGAGATACTGTACCTCACAATATCACGTAAGTCACCGTAAAGAACATTAATCTCCACAAAATGGTGCAGATTAATTTTAATCTATATGATTAAAAGACTGTGGCTAATAAATTGCCTCAAACTGACTGGAGAGATTCACCACTGAAAGCATGCCTGTGTGACAGCAGTATAAAACTCACAAAAGGAAAATCCATTAACAAACTGCATGTAGGAGTGTAGTACCTGCATTGTTCTTTTTTAGAAATATCTGATCTTGATCAAAAGTAGCAGTGTACATGGACCTAGTGATTGCTAAGAACCCTCATTTTGTACAAATTGAGATATATGAATTGTAGACTTCAAATGAAATAAAAAATAAGTGTTTCTGCATTCAGAAAAGAGAGAAGTCTCCCTAATCTCCTACCAGTATTCACTTCCAGCAAGCGCTTTTTCTTCTGCAGTCTTTCCCGCTTCTCTTGTTCGGCCTTTTCTTTGGCAATCTTGACACGCCTTTGCTTTTCCTCAGCTTCTCGCCTCTTCATGTTTTCCTTTAACGCTTGCTGTACAGAATCAAGAAAGTGAAGAATTGAGGGAAAGTTTACACAGCAGATGATTATTGATAACTAAAGGAAAAAGAGCCATTGTTGGGAGTCCATTAGCAGCCAATGACACCTGCTGGGTGACCCCAAAGGCCTTCTTTTAAGACTACACAGAAAAAAGAAGAGTTCTATTTAGTGTACTGAGATGCACACTTATAAGTGTTCTCTAAGCACTTGAACCCAAAACATGTTGAGATATTTTTGCCTCCCATTAGTAGGTGAAGGCTCTTCTTAAAACGTAAATCCTGTTTTGTGTGATAAGAGCTACTCTTATTTGTAAAAGCACTCTTTGATCATCAATAATATGATTTTTGAATATAATACTGGATGCAACAGTAAATCTTGATTAATACCAAATCTTACAATTGCACAACACATAAGATATTATTATTCTTAAACATAAACCCATGGAATGCTGATGTGTACAGAATGTAGAAGTAATAATACAATTTGATCAATAAGCAATGTATTATGCACTCAGAATAAAAAAAAATAAATTCTGGTGTTATCAAGTTACATCATGCTACTCCATCCTACAGAAAACAACAAAATGCATTTAAATTAAATAAAAAAATATAAACCAGAAATACACTTGTTTGGAGGTTAACTTTGCAGTTCAAACTTGTAATGTTGTTGACTCTCTAGAGATGCATCTGGCATCACTTAGCTCATTTGTGAGAAAAATAGAGCATTTTACAACAAGCCTCTAGACAATTAGCAGCTTGCCTTGTAACACAGTACAATTTGCATGTTCTTAATACTCTTTTACGAAGCTTGACATAGATGTAGTAATGGAGATAAGATATGAGCAGATAATTATAATGGAAATAGCCAAAAACCAAAATAATGAGTTATTTAATGTTTTTGTATCTACAGTGAAATTAATGGAATGGAAAAAATGCGGAAAGTATTTTTTCACAAAATGCAAATTAATACCAAAACTAGAAACATTTACAGCTTCTAAAATGTAATAACCTCTAAGAAAACTAAATCTGTCAAAAAGCATTACAAAGGTCAGTAAAGGTGCTGTGAAAAAGGATGGAAGTTTTTTTTAAATAAATGATTCAACAGATGGATTTATACTGAAGCATAGTTTTAAGGAAATATGGGAAAGGTTTAGAAAAGGCTATGTTAACAAATCACTTCAGCTATCATTTTACATTTTTTAAAAAAAACATAACTAATAAAAATGAAACAGACATGTATTTAACTATTTTCACAAGGAAATGGATAAAAAAGCATAATACATTAGTGGTTCAAGATGTTCAAGTAGGTAGCTGCGTCAGCATGCATATGCTGCAAAGGAACAGGTAATATATAGCTTGGAATAAACCTTTACCTGTTACTTCCATAATACATTAATACTTGTGTAGGAAATAAAAACATATATATATAAAGGATGAGATATTTCTACAAATGTAGTTTGTACATGTAAATACAAAAGTGCAGTTGGTCACAAAAAACAGTGGAAAAATTTACATGTAGTGTCACAAACGAGTTACATCAAGAACAACAGATCCCTGCAGTTCAGGGAACTAAGGTGCTACAGAACCTTTTATGTTAGTGGATGAAGTGTAGTAAATGACTTCTAAAAAAATCTGAGTAGAATATTTTGTGAGCCAGAGCCTGACAATGTTGGTGCACTAATGAGTTCATGAATCAATAACTGAATTAAAAATCATAGTTAAAAATTCCTCATTTTCAGAGTTTATTTGTACATTACCTTTCAAATACTGGAAACATGAAAGGGAGCTGAAAAGTTTTACAATTTCCCTTTAAGAATGTCTTACACTTTGGAGTGCCAGTTTGAAAAATTGCTGAAATTATCTGGATGTCATACATGAATGAAACAACTTTTAAAATTGGATGTTCTTGGGAAAGATGGGCAATAATCTCATACATTTTTAAAGGCAGAATTGCCTACTTTTACAGCTTTTTCTGCTTTTTTCTGTAAATTGCAAGTATTCTTAAATAAATCAAAATGATTATAATTTTTAATGTCTTATAACTGGAAAACATATTGTATCCAAGGAAAATATGTAAAAGTAGAACATGCACCAACATCAGTTAATAAAAACTGAAACTATTCACCATCGGCTTTATAGGATTGGTCATTTGCATCTGATCGTCAGACTCCAGATACTCAAGGAAGGTCCTTGCCTCCCAGTTTAATGAAGGCAATTGTACAAGAGGACAGAGGAAATATTCCAATGTTACTCAAAAAGAGCATGAAGAGAGCTCACCATATCTGAATTGCACTGTACACAACCGCAGATAAAACCTGTTCAGCCTCCCAGTGTGGATTCTGTATCGATTTTATCAGTCACTTTTGGGTTAACAGAAGGCAATCAACAAGTGAGGAAGAGTCAATGAATGAAGTGTAGTTAAATGACGCACAGGGGACCCTGCTTAATATCTCTCTTCTTTTAAGCCACTGACTTTCTGTTAGTATGGACATAAAACTTTCCTTGACTATATGCCGAAAGGACGTAAACTGCCCCCTAAAAATGTGTTCGAGCTTAGATCACAAGAAATGTCAAATTTTTAATAAAATCATTGCAAAATTGCATTGTATTATATATTAATCATTATAAATATATATTACTATATTTAAGAACTGTATGTGTCTGAAATTATGTATATTTTTACATTTTTTCTGTGCCCTGACATTGTGCTCTGAACTCAAAGTGCCATAACAAAGAAGTTCAAAGAAACACCAAAAAGCACAAGCAGATTACATTGCTAGATAAATTAATTTCACATTAATTTTACTCTATATGGTAGATGTCCTTAGTTATATGTACAGTATTTAGTGCAACTTAATGTAATAGCATAGTGTACATAAGTTAATTTTTAAATTCTAAGTGTTTTTAAAACATTTTCAACAAGGTTAAATTGCGATTAAGTGCTCAACTTAATGGAGCATTACAGTAATTATTCTGTTTACACACAGAAAAATTTACTTTCTGTTCATGTACAGAAAATGTGAATGAACTCTGCTACAGACTTGCATCTTTACGTCCTGGTCTCTATTAATGTTGAAATACATTGATTCTTATGGAGAAACATGTCACACTTAATGTCCCCCAGAGAATATTTATGTCCTTCTAGTTCCCAGTTTCTAATTTCTATTAATTACGGAGAATAATTAATGTTTTATGACCCCCATCAAGGATGTTAAACAGGGACTTCTTCTATATACTATATATAGTATACAATAACATGTACAAAATTAAAAAAGTATAAACCAGATAATTTATATTACACAAATTCATAGGAAAATAAGACATTGTTAATAGTAATGATATGCTTGTGGGGCGTAGAAAAATATAGTTTGTATTTCAATGTATTTGGCTCACATACTGAATAAATGCCACTCACAAAAAACAAAATACAGTATATATTTGTCTTTTGCCTTTGTCCAATTTTGACATAGTTAGGAGTAAAAATATATAAGGCTTCAGCGGGACCTGCGAGACAGCATGATTGAAAGGCAGATTAGCATGCCTGTGTGAAACACAACTTTATAACGGCTGATATAAAAAAAAAAGTCCATGTCACTTGCAGCTACAAAGAATTAAAATAAGTTGTACCGTTATCGATTTAGGAAAATCATTCAGAAAAGTTTCACGTAATTTGCACAATATCACACAATTTACATCGCAATTTGTATTGGGGATGTGCTGTATCGGATATTACACTAAGAAGAAAAGATGATACTTATAATGCAATGTATGGAAGGAACTAGTTTTAAATATAATTAAATATAATTTCCTGATCTGGGGCACAGCACACATGCACTCAAACTGAGGAGAGATTACATGGGAGGGAGAACAGGTGGAACATATAATCTTTGCACAGATAGTCAACTGGGGACAGGACAAGTTTATATTTGAAAAGAACATTGTCTCTAGTTGGCTTAGCATTTGATTTATTGACAATTAGTTTCATTGTCCATTACACCTCAAAGTGGCAGCAAAAAGTCAATTAATAGAAAATATTTCAGATTAGTAAGGTTATGAAACCAAACCAAATATGTGTTCTCCTCTCCCTTGAATCACCTCCTTCTCCTTCCCTGAGTGATTATTCAACATTTAGCATAGAACAAGTGTAAACTTTGAAGAGAGTCTAATATTTTACTGTGCCAAGCTAGGAAAAAAAAAAGTAAATCTAGATTTTATGAAAACAATTGAGGCAGGACTGACACCTTATTGTTTGGTAACTAGTTCACCACACCATCTTTTGGAGGTTAGTTTGAGCTGGAAAAAAGATCTGCATGGTGTTGTGAAGAAGATGCTGAAGGATTAAAATATGACATTCACACCAGGTGACACTCTTCTGGGATTTCTCACTAGCAACAGAGTCTCAAAACCAAAACTAATGTTAAATTTCTAATGGAATAAATATGAGGATTTCAAAATCAAGGTATTCAAGGTTGCAACAAGCAACATACAACAGTGTTACTACCTACTGGACCACAATTTCCAATAGAATGCCCCGGTGCTGTAGAAGTTGCAATTGTTTGGATAAAGCGTTAAAACAATGACTTCTTTGTCAGTGAAAATCTCATGGCACTATTTGTAAGAGCAGGGGTGGTAGTCCTCTTGTCCAGGCTAAACTTGACTTTGGTCTCGGCCTACTTAATGTCTCCCCCCGCCCAATTAATACAATTGTAGAAGCAATTTTTCCCTTCTGACCTAACAAATAAGGATGCTTCTGGTACCTAATGGATATTGTGTGTTACACAGGTACTGTATGAGCTGCACTTCAGCAATGGATGACAAGGGTCTCTTCCAATAAATAGGGATTGTCTGTGAAGAAAAGCTCTATAAACACTTGGAATTAAAAATGATCAAGTGACTGAGATATACTATGGAGACTACATACAGTATAAACAGACTTTTAAGTCTTTTTTTTCCCCCACAGAATCTATTGAAGGATTGCATTTTATGCTTTGTATA